GTTGAAGTCAAAATGATCTGCCCTCCTGTGAATTAAACAAAAAAAAGTTTTATTTGATTTATTTCGGCAAGAGCTGAAGCAGTTTCTAATAAAAAATAAATAAAAAAAAAATTTAAAGTCAATATTTTTAGCCCCCTTTAGGAAGATGTTTTGATAGACTACAGAACGAACCTTCGTTATACAATGACTTGCCTAATTAACCTAGTTAAGCCTTTAAATGTCACTTTAAGCTAAAAAGTATCTTGAAAAATTACTAGTAAAATATTATTTACTGTCATCATAGGAAAGATTACTATATAAATAATCACTTCCACACTTGCTCTAAAAGTCCCTTGTGTTCACGGTTTCTTCTGTGGTGATAACATTTGTCCTTCCACAATAAAGCAATGTGATAGACCAGCTAAAAATAACTTTATTGTAGCAATCATAAGAGTTTGTCTCATCATGTTTGTGTCTGTTTTTAACTACGTTAGGTGAAGCTGCTTTAATATTTATTCTATTAAATGTGCAAGTGTCAACTGTCATGCTTTTTTTCGTTTCTTTTCTTTTTCTTTTTTTAGCTATAATAATTTTTGCTATTAAGTAATGATTCTTCTTAAGCTGTACTGGTTCATTAGTTACTAGCATTTATTATTATTATTATTATTATTATTATTATTATTATTATTATTATTAATATTATTATTGTTGTTGTTGTTGTTATTATTTTAAAGATACTAGTATTTATTAATTAGCTAATTAATTAATAGTAATTATTTTAAAAGCAAAGAGCTGGACAGAATCTGCTGACTTTTCTTTTGCTATTTCTGCTGAGTTTTTTTGTAAAAAAATCTGCAGCATTATGCGGAATCATTTTAGGAGTTTTGTAACTATAAACTTAATATATGAAATAAAAAATTTAACATTTTAACTTTTATTTACAGTGCAAATCTAATTAGATCCACTCATTTGGTAAACATCTACTAAAAGGCAGAAAATATTACTTTACAAACTATGGTAAATAAATCATGTGAACATTTTCATATTAATATTATTATATCACAATAATATAAGTGAAATTCATTTAAAAACTGAATAAATATAAATTTACACACATTTACACAAGTGAATACATAGACTCAATGATGGGCTAAAAATCTGTGGAAATCTGCAAAGTTCTACACGCCCTTGAATCGCAATTTTTAGGCTAATTACTAATAATCAATAGAATAGGCTAATTACTAATAGGCTAGAATAGTCTAATTACTAATAATCACTACTGAAATAAGCAAGTTATTGGTGTCTATTTAATAGGTGCTACTCACGTGATCAGCTGTTAAATTCAAATCTGAAAGAACCATGGAATGGAAAAGATACTAGCTAGTAATAAATATTAGTAGCAAGGACATACACTACCTGACAAAAGTCTTGTTGTTGATCCCAGTTGTAAAAGCAACAAATAATGACCTCTAGTTGATCATTTGGAAAAGTGTCAGAAGTTAGATCTTTCAGATGAATCATCTGTTGAACTGCGTCCCAATCATCACAAATACTGCAGAAGACCTACTGCAACCTGCATGGACCCAAGATTCTCACAGAAATCAGTCAAGTTTGGTGAAGGAAAAAATCATGGTTTGGGGGTACATTCAGTATAGGGGCGTGTGAAAAATCAGCAGAGTGGATGGCAACATTGCCCATTACATTAAAAACCACAGGAGAGGGCAAGTTCTTCAGCAGGATAGCACTCCTTCTCATACTTCAACCTCCACATCAAAGTTCCTGAAAGCAAAGAAGGTCAAGGTGCTCCAAGATTGGCCAGCCCAGTCACCAGACATAAACAATATTGAGCGTGTCTGTGATAAAATGAAGGAAAAGGCATTGAAGATGAATTCAAAGAATCTTGATGAACTCTGGGAGTCCTGCAAGAACGCTTTCTCCGCCATTCCAGATGACTTTATTAATAAGTTATTTGAGTCATTGCAGAGATGTATGGATGCAGTCCTCCAAGCTCATGGGAGTCATACCCGATATTAATTCTTTTCCCACTACACCATGACTTTATATTCTATACTATACATTATTTCTGTTAGGTGAGAAGACGTTTGTCTTAGCAAAGTCAGACCTTACTCTCCTAATTAAATCATTAAAAATCATGATTATATTTCGTTTTGGTAAAATAAGCGTAATCTAGATGCTTTTATATAAGCCACTTCTGATACCAAATGATCAACTAGAAGTCAAGTTATTATTTGTTGTTGCTAAAACTTGGATAGACTCTTGTCAGGTAGTATATACTACATATTTTTTGTATTAAATGTTAAAATGGCTTGCCATATACATAATCTCCCCATTAAACTATTTGTTTTTGAGTTATTGTAAATTATAAAAGGGAAATGCATCAGCTTATGTAAATGTATGTAAATTTTGTGAAAATGTGGCAGTTTTCCCCCAAAACCCTGAAGAATAGGTGTATCGTAGACTAATGATATGGCATGATCGAGCGGACAGTCCTGCTGAATAAGTTGGATATGTCATATAATAATAGTTTGCTCATATTTTATGGCATTATAATTGAATGATAAATGGGGTGCTGCTGCAGTAGTGCACAAGTAACATAAAGCATTAAAGCAGCACTGATGCAGCATTACATTATTCTCAGTTTTTTCCCCATGCTATTCTGAAAAGAATGACAAAAAAGGTCCAGTCAAGTTCCTCTATTTCTCAGTCTCTCTACTGTCCTGTTTAATCACACAAAATCTCATGAATAAACTATTGTGGTGGCATGTAGTGAAACAGAGCCATTATAAATAAATAAATTATATTTTTAAGAAAGACAGGCTGTTAAATAACATGCATAATCCCATGACTGATCGGGTGATTCATACTGTACATAGTCCAAAGAAATGACAATTAAACATTATAGAGCAAAACCAGTGAAATGACTCTTTTGAACCGGTTCTTTTCAGTGATTCAATAACTGTGCTAAAAGGGTAGTTTGATTCCAGAATGAATGGATGACTATTGTAGTTCAGTTCTTTTCATATAAGGAATCAAAACATCATTCGAAGAAGCTGGTGGTGTAAATGTAAACTGTTTAGCTGTCAGCCAAAGGTTATTGCTTGCTTTCTTTATGCCTGAACCAAGAACTGTTATGCTGCAGGCTACTTAAATGGATAGTTCACCAAAACATGATGGTTAAAAAACAAGTAATTGACATCCATTTTTGTTCCTACTATGGATATCAATTACTTTTTTAACCATCATTTTTAGGTGAACTATCCCTTTAAGTAGCCTGCAGCATAACAGTTCTAGGTAAGTAGTTTGTTCCGACAATGGATGTCAATGGCTGCTTTTTTCCGACATTCTTCAGAAGATCTCATTTTGTGCTCAACAGAAGAAATATTTTAATAAAAGTTTAGGACCACTTGAGTAAGAGTAAATGCTGAAGAAATGTATTTTGGGGAGGCTGTGCTATGTTTTTAAAGCTTGTGTGACCTTCAGTCAAGCATCGTTTAAAGCTATGAGTGTATTATTTAGTGAATCAACAAGATACAGTGAAACCAGCACTACTGACTGGTTGTTGTGACTGCAAAGGTACTTAGTGCTCAGCTTATACAAGTACACCCCTCACAAATCTATTTTTTAAACTCCTAGGATGCTTAGCAATATTATATATATTATATTATTGTGCATACACATTAGATTAGTCAGTGCCTGATCTGGAACTTATCTAACAAAATAACTTACGATAACAGTCCCAAAAACCAATACAGTCAAATTTATGTTATCGAACAATATTAAATACATATATAAAATATAAAAAATAAGTAAAATCAAGAGAAGATAAATAAAGAAATAAATTTTTAAAAATTTGTTGAAATTTTGTAGTTTTTATTTTTTTGCAATATTTTGCTTTAACACAATTGTATTATTATTTTTAATTTTCTAAATATATTTGGTGACTAAAATATTATTTTAAAAAATATGTTTAATAAATCTGTTTTGTTTAACTGCACCAAAATGCATTACCCATATTCACTGAGAAATGAATAAAAATATACATTTTCAAAATGGAGTGTACAGTTATGCGGAGTAACTTTTTGTTATAACTAAAGTTATTAGTTTATCAGTCATTTTTTTATTAAATAATTTGGCTTAAATAAATAAATCAGTTTTAGTATTGTTTTGTTTTCATGATTAAAACTGTTTTGGATCCATTTCTGGCGTTTAAAAAGTCTCTAAAAAGTATTTGAGCTCATCTATGCCAATGATTCGTTTGCTTGTTAATTCTGTTCTTCTGAAATCTTGGTCTCGAGCTGTAAATGGAACAAGCACTTTTCCTTTTATAGCTTTCTATAAACAATTCTTTCCTCAAAATTATAAAAAAGAATCACCAACAGAACCGTCAAGGAATCAGAATCACAACTCCACACGACTCTCCCATTCTCCGGCATCACCTGAAGTCCAACACGCTGCTCAAACGCGCTTTCCTCCTCCACACTCACTATGACTGACAACATTTTGCTCGGTAAACGGGCAGAAAGGGAGCCTACTCTCCGGAGACAAGACCTCAGATTTAGCGAACAGCTGCTTTTATGCATAATTCTCCCAGTCATGATGTTTCCCCCCACCACACACGGACTAAATCCTCTGGGGAAATAAGTCACATCAACACGACTCCAAAGAAACAGCGAGACGTCAGCAGCGCTCCCGGCAACGTCCGAGAGATGCTCGACTCAACTCCTCCAGCGAGCAACTCCGCACAAACACTCACCACTACGTGTTATCATCAGTTTAACAACTCGTTTATCATGTTTAAAAGGGTAAAAGAGCTCATAAATAACCGCAGAGTCCAATAAGGTAATCTCTCTCCATCTATGTTAGCCTACACTCTGACGCTGATTCATCGCAGCCCAAATAAAGACAGAAACGCAGCGATTTTTCCTCAGGTGTTTGCAGCCTTAATCAGAAGTACAGCTGAAAAGACAAACACTTCAGCAAACGTATCAGCATCAACTTACGCAGATGTAAAGCAACAGGCAGGATGAGGCAGGCGTTGCAGAGGAGAGGTGTCATCCTGAAGAGATCCCGGCGAACAGAAACTGAAGGCAGTGAAGTCACAGATGCGGCTGTTCATTTAAGAGAAACTCGGAGCATCAGCTCGCATTGCGCTGGACTGATGAATGATTCACTAGCGCGCGTATCCTGTAGTAAAGGGGAGGAGGCTGAGGCTGCATGCGGGAGCACGACTGCGCGTTTAACAAAGCTTTGTTTCAACTATAACTTTTTTCATTGCACTCGCGCACTACTACACGCTGCTGGTCTAGATACACTTTCATTAATAAACCATAAGCAAATATTACATAACACTAGAGTAACGTCAGGAGCTCACGTAGTGTGTGTATATATTATATATTTATATATACAGTTGAAGTCATAATTTTTAGCCCCCCTCCTGTATATTTCTTTCCCCAAATTTCTGTTTAGAGAACACATTTCTAAACAATAGTTTTTTACTAGTTTTCATCATTGCCATGATGACAGTGCATAATATTTTACTAGGCATTTTTCAGTATACTATAGTTTTCAGCTGAAAGTGCTTAACTAGGTTACGGTAATTAGACAAGTCATTGCATAGTCTAAGAGTTGTTTGTTCTGTAGACAATCGGAAAAGAAATATTGCTAGTAATACTGAGCATAATTTTTTTTTTTTTAAATCAAAAGCTGCTTTTATTCTAACCGAAATAAAACAAATAAGACTTTCTCCAGAAGAAAAAAATATTACAGGAAATACTGAAAATTTTCTTGCTCTGACATCATTTGCAAAATATTGGGAAAATAAAAGAAATTCCCAGAAGGGCAAATATTTTGACATTAACTGTAAATATATGAGACATGAATATTTTATGTTAGTAAGTAAATGTGCTTTTATGTTTAGTGTAAATACTTTGACATTTGACTTTTTTATAGCCCATTATTCATGGTTTTTGCTACACTAATCATAATTTAATCAAGGCATTTGAGGTAGTGTTTTTGCAAATTAACCTCCTTAAGAAATTATGATCTATAATAGAATATACAATTCTTGTTACACCATAAAGTATTACATTACTGCAATGACTGATATGCAGAACGCATGATTTAATTAATTAATTCATTTTCTTTTTCAGCTTATAGTCCCTTTATTTATCAGGGGTTGCCACAGCGGAATGAACCGCCAACTTATCCAGCATATGTTTTACACGGCGGATGCCCTTCCATCCGCAACCCAGTAGTGGGAAACACCCATACACTCCTGCATTCACACATACACTACGGCCAATTTAGCTTATTCAATTCACCCTGATTTAATTCACCAGGGGATATGATTAAGTGCAACCTAATTTTAGTCACATAAAATATTAAAGGGGCCGTTCACCAAAAATGCTAATCTACTCACTATACTCAGCCTTTAGTGGTTATAAACCTTTTCATTCTTTTGTTCACTGCAGAGAAATATATTTGGAAAAAATGGAAACATGCAACCACTGACTTCCATAGTATTAGCTTTTACTATGGAAGTCAATGGTTGCTGGATTATAACTTTCTTCAAAATATAGTCTTTTGTTTAACAGAAGAAACACAAACAAGTTTGCAACAAGGGTGAGTGAAAGACAAAAGAATGTTCATCTTAAGGTGAACTATATCTTTAAGAGGTCACAGATTTCAAAATTCTCCATATTGATGACAAGTTAAAAAACAGGTGCGACTGCTTATTACAAAAAGCATTCTGCAGAAAAGAAAACATCCACACAGTCTTAACTGAACATTGAACAATGTTTTCCTTTTTTTATTCCAAAATGTCTAGGATGAAAGAAACAAGTGTAAAATGTACAACAGAATTGCAAACACAAGGAACAAAAATCAAAACACAAATGAAAAAACAAACAAACAATTAAACGTTCATACACAACCTGCAATGTAAATCTCTTGAAGAGAAGGGGGAAAAAAAGGTTCGTATTTAAGCCTCAAACACTGAAGGCATTGCGTATTAGTATAGTAACCCCAACATCATCAGACGTGTCTAAAACAGCATCGAAACCAATTTATCTTGCACTGCAATGAAACCTTAAAACTGACAAGACGCTTTTTTTCTGAAACGTTTCAACCTGAAAACATAAAAATGAATCAGACAATCTATCCGATCACGGGTCATCTCGGCTGGACACTATACTATTTGAGAAAGAAAAATGAAAACAGGATTAACCCAGGTTTACAGAGCTTAAAGAAAAATGGGGTGTTAAATTGATAAAAACAGGTACCTCCATATTTGAATACACGGCTCTCACCAGTAGCATGCAAGCATGCTGAGTTTAATATATCCTAATTAGCGCCTCAAATTTACCCTCAACTGCACAGCAGGCTCATGTCTGTAACAGAGCATTTTTAAACATACAAGAATAAAGCAAAAGAGGACACATTGCCCGCACCCTGTATAAATGTCCTAATGAGCCACACTGACTGCAGCAAATGGCAATGGATATAATATGCACAGCTCTAAAAATAAAGATGGCAAGGGAACGAATAATGTGTTAACACAAACACAATCACTGGGGCCGGCACTTCCTCATCACATTAACATGAAACTTTTAAGGAATAAATGGCCGAAAAAAATAACTCTGATCACAGAATACAGCACTTTTAAAGAAAATGTTTCGGTAACAAACCTGTCCCTTCCTTATTTCAATTCTGTGTTTTAGTGAAAAAGAAAATTTTCGTAGATCACTGCAGTGTCTTAGGACACGATTACCAGTATCTGATACGCAATATATAGTCTGATAAGGCACTTTTGTTCTTCCTCTATCAGAGGGCATGACCAAATAGTCCCTCTTTAATGAATAACAAGTGTTGGCAATCTCAGTCTAAATCAAATACAATCAACTGAGCAGAACGAAGCAGAAAAAAGACATTCCAGCCACTTTCTACAACACTTTCCAAACTATTTCAGGGTTACCACAGAGAAGAAACAGTTTTACAGAAAAACCTTTTTTACGATAAGCCTAGCTGCATTCACTGTAGTGTAATTTCGCAGAAGAACTGAAAAATCACAGAAGCTGCATATAAAATTAGAAAGAAGATACACAAATGCCTGCCCTCTAGAGACTTACAGGTGTACTGCAAGTTACCAAACTCCTTTTGAAGAAATTCTACATAACTATATTGTTAGCATTCTCGGGTAATATAATAAGCCTTCTTACATATTTTACAGGGCTTTCTTGATTGAAGAAAAAAAGGAGGCATGAATTTTTTCAGTAGTCCAGATGTTCAACTGTAGGAGTAGAAATCAAACTTTGACCTTTTCGTAGCCTGATAATGTTCACACAAAAAAAAAAAAGAAACAAAAAAATCCTGGAACCTTCTGTTCCAATGATGTTCCACTGACACGAGAAAGCAGCAGGTTGGCCAAAATGTTTTCAGTGAATCAAAGGAGTCAAATACGGATTAGTGGTCTACATACAACCTTAATGAATAACCAACAGTGCTAATGTTCATGAGGTGATGATCAGTTCTCGGTGTCTGCAGCTTTTCACCACAAGAAATAGAAGAGAATAAAGCAGCGCCAGGAAACCATCCCATTCACAAGTGTTTAGTTCTTTCAAGCTTTCCAGTCTTGTTCGTGATGTTTCAAGGATGAAAGCCAACAACAGTCTTCATGGTCTCCCGGCATTCGATGCATAATGAAAATAACTGAAGTAGCCCATGTCTCGTTTTGTGCGCTGATGCATACAAACTGAGGATTTATTCCACATGAAACCATAAGCTAAGAAAAGGAAAGAGGGAAGAATGGCGAGATGTAGTCCAAACACGTCAATATATCTGTAGTTCAAGTCTGGACTACGACTCCCAACAGAACTTCTTAGGAGAGCAAATAAGCTGCAGAGCACAGAAAAAGCAAAGCGGAGAGCAGGATGGCATGAGGTCATGATATCCATCAGTGAGACTGAGAGGTTGTGAAGAGCTCTAGTGGTTGACCAGGCCCTGCAGCATCATCATGAGGCGCCGTGCACGCTTGCTCATAGGGCTGTGGGCGTCCTGCTGCAGGAACAGGAAGAGCTTCTGTCGTACCTGGGTCAGCACTGCGGACATGTGGTCTCGGGTGACGGGATCTCCGTGGTCAAGGTTCATCACAGCATCTTCGAGATAGCTGCACGTAAATGGGAGAAAGAAGAAAGTTTTTTGTTGTTGGTATGGCTTTGTCATGGCAAAATTACTATAGGAAAAAACATTACATAATAATAATAAATGTGTTTTTTCTTTTTGTTATTATTATGCATTATTATACATATGTCATTATTACTGTTAAAATAATGATAATGTTAAATAGGATAAGAATAAATAATAGGAAACAATAAATAAATGAATGAATACTTTACATTAAAATAATATCTAATATTTTAATGTAAATTATTTAAGATATTTCAGTCCAATGAATAATATACAATAAATAAATTAATAAATACTTTACATTAAAAAATTAGATATGATATTTCAAATGTAATAAATAATAAGAAGAAACAATAAATAGATGAATAAGTATTTAACATGAAAACATTACATATGATATTTTAGTCTATTAAACGATAAGAAACAATAAATAGATGAATAAATATTTTACATTAAAACATTGGGTATGACATTTTAGTCCAATAAAAGATAAAATACAATAAATAAATAAAAGATCTTGCATTAGAACATTAAATATGATATTTCAGTCCGATTTATGATTAATAACTTGGGAAATTTGTCCTGAGGATACATTTTGAAAAACATCTATCCAAAACAAGTCCTCTCAGTATAGAAATCTTGTCTAGTAGTCTTTTAATTTCACGATATATAAAATATGTTTTATGGTGCAGAGAACTTGATAGTGGTTGCATGTTGGTGGTAGAATGGAGAAAAGCGTAGAGGAAAAAAGTACCATGGTGACTATTCAAAAGTTACTCCATATTGTGATGAAATAAATTTCATACTAATCGCAGATGTTTTATTATGAATCTTAAAAAAAAAGAACATTTATGCAGCTTTTTACAATCAATATAATGAGTTGTTGTCAGCATTTTCAGGTTCCTGCCTCAGTTCCAGCTGTTTGCCACAAAACAAGATTTTATGGAGGATAAAAAAAAAGTAATAAAACAGGGATACTTCTATGATGTTAGATGAATGAAAACCCAAAAATTGCTTTCTTCAGGCATTTTAACAGCTCCCTGACTTATTACAACTGTAAAATACCTGCTATTTTCAAAATCGCAACCATCATGCAATCGCCTGCATCTTGAAGGAGCCAATGTTTTCTTGCCCATTTGGCTTGGACTCAACTGGAAGCGCCGTTTACATCATTTATTTTATCAAAGTGTTTCTTGCAGGAAGGCTAAGTTCCTTTAATCTCTCCTGTTACGATCACCCGTTTGCTTTGAAGCCAAATCTCATTAATATTGGAAGCACTTTGCACTGGGCCAGACCTTTAACAATGTATTAATATTAAACTCAGAAAGTGCAAGAGGTCTGAGCTTTTTCCATAGTTGAATTTTTAGCAGCTGACACTTGAGTGTCACACAATTGTTCAGAAATGATTCTAATATGCTGATTTGGTGCTCAAAAATATAATTATCAGTCATATTGTGCTATTTTAAAAGATGTAATAGAAGTACTCAGCTCACAAAAACCTGATGGGTCATTTATTACACCATATTATAGTTGCGCGGAAACAAAAAATATGCTATTTTTGTGTTTCTATTATGCAAATGAGATGATGTTCCCTGTCTGTTTTCTGAGGAGGGTGGTTCCTTTATATCTCGTGCCCCAGTGACAAACAAAACATGTTCACTAAAAACTGTATATCAAGAGTTCAACCTGACAAGATTTTAGAGCAATCAAGTCTTGTCAGTTTAAACTCTGGTTAAAAGGTTTTCAGAGTGCTAATATAAACACAAAGCAGGCTGTCGGACGCCACAGTAACTGGATGGCAAACTTGTTCTTCGAAATACACTGTGACATGACTGGAAAACATTGGTTAGTTTGGTATAAAGTTACGATAGAATGCCAATAAGCTTAGGGTTATTTCCAATTAAACAGGAAGCGATGCACACATGGTGTGCAAGTGGTGTCCACCCGGAGTACTCGCATTTTCTAGGTGCACCTAATGCTGTGTGCGCATAGCGATTCATGTAACTAGAACTAACCAATCTGCTTCACAGTAGAGGTCTGCATTCCCATGAAAGCCACAGGACCCAACCAGATTTCTTGCGGTGCAGGAATAAATTCCTGAATATAACGCAGTAGTGGTCGGTAACTCAGTTGTAATTTGAACGAGAGCAGGCAGGCAGTTTGTACCTGCTAAGTGTATAGAAATATTGCTGATATGATTTAGAAACTTGGTAGTTGGCAAATATATTGAGTTAAAATTTTTGTAAATCTGACTTTGAAAGAAACCTCACTGCACAAACTATTTAAAGCGGCACTCATTTCTCATCACAAAGGGGCAAACAAAACTGACATTTAGACTACAATCCTTGCAAAACCAAGACTTTTATCTGTTATCTCTCTTTTGGTAGTGCCCAATTTCAACGCAAGCTTTTGAAAACCAGATCTAAATTTAGCAGGAACAGTCGGATTAGAAAAAAAAAAGGGAGCGGAGGCCTGCAGGTGACCAAAGGCTGAATATACAGCGGGAGCAGGCGGGTGCGGAATAAAACCTGGTGTAAGCGGGACTAAAAATATAGTCCCACGCAGATCTTCACACTTTGTATGGAATACACATTTTGGTAACAATGACTGACTAATTAACTCAGGAAAAACACAACGCACCCAAACACTGCAGTGCTTTGTTGATGAATCTACGCGCTCACACTTCATCTCACCTCAGGTAAGAAAAACAACACACAAGAAAATGAGTGCCGTGACTGGCAGCAGTCATAATTTGTTTGGATTACAGAGTTTGAGGTTTACTGTATTATATTAATTGATACCTTGGAGATGTTGATCTACCTTAAAGTTTGCTTGGATTGTTCAGCATTTACAATTTACCATTGCACACTTTGTAACATTTTATTTTAAGTTTATTTTAGACTATTTTAAGAGTCTCTTTAACACTTTTGTTTATTTTATTATTAGACATAAGAGATTATATTTTTGATTGTTTTTTTGTTCTTGACAATTAAAAATATTTGTCTTCGTAATGTTGGTTAATTAAAACAAAGTGGTAAAAAAAAACTAATATTCCTAAATGGATGGTAAAAAAATATTCAATAATTACTGATACCGAATGATATGAAACATTATATCGTGATCATTTTTTTGCTGAATCACCAGGCCTATTTGAGATTTTCCCATATCGAGTTGGGACAGTGAAATACAGGACTTTCCCAAGAAAAACAGCATGTCTGACCACCATATTTTTGTGCCAACTCTAAGTTGGTTATATCTGTGACAAATTTACCTACGTACGCACTACAGAAAGCTGAATATGTTAAAACCATATACCTCAGAACCTACCAATATACCTCAGGATTCTAAGATTAAAGCCCAAAAGAACAGACAGAAGTCAGTTGTAACTTTAATCAATTTATAATTGGTCACTTTACAATAAGTTTGCACTAGTTTATGCATTTAATAACATGAAGAATAAATGATACTTGTACAGCATCATTAATCATAGTTCATTATGTACTACCGTATTATTAAAATAAACATTTTTGCTTTTTTAACTTTAATGCACTTTAATTATCATTAATGTTAACAAAATTGAAAAAATAATGTAATAAATGTATTGTTTATGTCATTAAATATGTCAGCTAACCTAATTGTAAAGCGTCCAGTTTTAAAATATAGATTACTTTAAAGCAAAACAAAATTTCAATGATAGTGAATGTGACAATTCATTCACTACAATTCTCAAACTCAAATCTGGTGAGTTTTGTTGACAGATGTACTAACAGACCATGTTATTTCTTTAATCTATTTTAGGGAAAAGCTTTTTTTGGTCTGCTTGTTTTATATTAAAAGAATAAAAAAAAAACAAGTCCATCAAGGATTAGTAAAACGCCACCTGTCTGCAAAAACTATATGGGAAATCTCTCCATCTGTTTAATAGACACTGGTGTACGATACCACCCTTGAGCTGTATGCTGCACAGAGGTCATCTTAATTACCTTACAAGCGATCATTAAGCTAAAGCTTTCGATAAAAAAAAGAAAGGAACTGTAATACAATGACCTTAATATCCCCAGGACTTTGCGGTAGAGTTCTGTCCAGATGGCTAAGCTTTCATGCTTCATATCAGTTTGCTCTATTTTCACATGTGTAGTTCCTGTTTCAATGCGTTTAAGCCCACAGTGCTGTTATCTCAACTATAATCTACTGGCCCTGACAGATATTACATTCCTAATGCAGAGGAATCACTGTTCAAATCTTGATTTCTGCCAACCTTTACTGAGGTTACACTCACACGAATTATCATGACAGAACAAAGCCCTGTGAATTATCAACCCTGTGAATTATACATGGACTATCAGAGGCAAAATATATATTTTTTTCTGTAATGTTAGTTTATGTAATACATATGCATGCTTCAGTAAACCAAAATTCATAATTTACACCAAACTTATACTTATTTTGCGGTTTATCTTTTACGCACGAGCATAGGTGTCTATTACAATACAAACTATTGTTTACTTGTAAACTATATGTAGATACAAACATCTACACTGTAAAAACAATGCTGGGTTTCACACAATTCCGTCATGATGTTCCGATAAAGTCGATAAAGTTAACCAAATTGTATTTACATATTCAAGTGCACTGAACATAAAAAAAATAGGTTATCACCCCAAGAAATTGAAGAATTGCGTTGTTTCAGTTAATTTTAAATCTATAGTTTGAACAAGCAGCAAAAACCTTTTTTGTGTATTTTACAAGAAAAGTTCCTCTGTTCTCTGCTGGTTTCAGAATGCCGATTAAAAAATTTTCTACATAGATATCAAGGCACGAGCATGCATTCTCAATGGTATGAACCATTATAATGTTCAATGTTCAAATGTATATTTATTCATTGATTCATTTTCTTTATGGATTAGTCCCTTTATGAATCTGGGGTTTCCACAGCCGAATGAACCGCCAACTTATCCAGCATTTGTTTTATGCAGCGGT